TTAGTCGATTTCTTTAAGTTTAGTTACTAGGTCATTTTAATTCCCGTATTTTCTCGTTATGATTAGTTTTTAGGTTTTAAAGACACCACCAAAACCCCTATAAAAATCGTTTGGTTCTAGACTTCCTTACTTCACATTTCTTTCGAAGGCTTTTGCTGGAAAATCATCCTTCCCTGTGAATCCGATCCCTAGGTACTACAATCGATCAGTTGTGCACTTGCGGCTATTGATTTTCATTTAGGGTAAAAATTGACAACCCTTACACGACAGCAACATCAAGTTTTTGGCACCGTTTTCGGGAAAGGCACACGTTTTCTTCTCCGCAGAACCCTAAGAAAGGTTTGTAAATCGACTCTAGAACCCTATTTCTGGTTATTTCCCTTTTTTGGGTTCTTTTTGCTTCAGTTCCCGAAGCAATGAACCCTATAAATCGAAATCCCTACTACGAGAGAGGTTTTCACAACACTCCTCAAGCCACCAGACGCGGAGAAGAGCAATATATATGTTTTTAGAAACGATAAGACTACTTCAAAAATATTTTTAGGTATTCTTGAAGTATAACATCTCAAGTGAGTATTTATAGGGTGGACAATAATATTCATTTTTTCCAAATTTCAAGATTTTTGGGGAAGACTACTCGACTTATTAGTATGAACACCTAACCGTTAGACTTTTTAGTTTTTTCATTTCACATATTTATAAGAATATTTGTACGAATAAATACATAAAATTGTAACATATGGACCTACATAATTGTCTTTTTTTTGTTATCGTCTTGCCTGAATATCTTATTTCCTAAAATATTGAAACATAACATTGTTTAAATAATATTATCTACGACAAGAGATCATTCTGTCTCTATGGAATGTTTCATAATTTAGTAACATGGTATATTTACTTACTGAGGTTGCATGTATCTTTGGTGAATCTTAAAACATGGAATATATTCTCTCTGACACGTGAAACGAAATTGGTCGATATTGATATGGAAATGTATTGACATCAATTAGTGGGATTGTTGTTGGTTTTGACAATAAAGAGCCTTTAATGGTAACTGTTCAATGTTCTTTTTCATAATAATTAAGTAAAAAATAATTTTAAAAGAAAGGAAAACTACCTATTCAACTGCATTGTCTATCTTTTTTTTATTTAAAACACTTTCCTTGTCCTTTGTCTCTTTTATTTTTCTCTCTAGAAACCTCTTTCAGAATTCCCTATCGAATAAAAAAAGGTTTTAATATGTCGGATGCTGTCGAGGTTGCACGTTTGGATACTTCCAAAACAGGATGGATTATATCTGTCAAAGTGGTCATGCTCTGGAAACATTCAACATTCTGCGGAAACACTACCAAGATGGTTCTATCTAATATCGATGTATTTGTTTTTCGTAAGTTCTTTTCTTTTTTCTGTGTTCTATATATATTGTTCACTGCTTATTTTTTATTGTGTTATTTTTTAGGGCACTCACATCGCTGCAACCGTTATGTCAAACGAATTTTCCACTCACGCGAAAGAACTCAAACAGGGTCATTGGTTCCGGATCTTTAATTTCATCCTTAAGGAAGCATCTGGATCAATCCTTACAACTACCAATAAGTATCGTTTGGAGTTAACTTCCATCACCACTGTCACCCCTATCAGAACGAGGTCATACAAATTGTTTCTCCACTGCTTTCGATTTTATGATATCGTGGATCGAGCCATCCCTTTTGAGTATCTGATTGGTAAAAATTGCATCTTAAAGTTTTTATAAGAATTAGTCCACTCTTATCAATTTGCATGGAGGATGTGTTAAATTTGTTAAATTAGTTTTTATACATATGTGTTAAATTTGTAATATATTTATATTCCCTTTTCGATTTTGTTTACTATTAGACGTTACGGGAACTATTGTGAAGATGGGTGAACTCTGTAATGTAAGCAACGACGCGAATCTCTCTTATCTTCGATTTGAAATAGTAGATGCTCGGTATTATGAATCATGTGCTTTGTTTTATATATGAAACACTATCGACATGCAAACTCTTTACCAAATATTTCATGATTTTTTGTTATTGTTTTTCTTGTGACAGAAGGGAAGGTCGATTAACGTGTTTTGCCTGTGGTTCTTTAGCAAGGAATCTCTATGATGTATATCAGAGAAACTACTGTGAATCGGTCATCTGGGTCTTAAGGTTCTGGAATATGACAAATGGCCAAGATATAGATATATTTTCTCATAAGATGTCCTTATTAAATATTGATTGTTGATTAAAACTATTGTCTATTGGTGTTTAGGTATTGATAAGAACTCTGTGGTTCTCCGATCTAATCCTCTTTGCTCAGACTTTTTGTATAATCCTATCAATGATGAGGTTGATGCATTCAAAGCCACGTAAGTATTTTTGATATTTTATTCTATAGATTATTGTTTGTATGTTTATAAATATGTGCTGGTAATGAATGTTTTATAACTTTCGTAGGAGGAGTCGAATGCATCAACTGCCTATGTCATCTGTAAACCTATTCTAAATAATTATTGTATTAAAAACTTTATCTTTCTATTTTCACTGTTTCCTCTTTAGTCTTTTGTACTCACTACTTAGGGTAGTTATATGTCGACTCTTTAAACTTGGATCAATGATGTTATCTAATACTTTCTTATGGTTTATATAATATTTTGATATGTATTAATGTTTTTATATAATCCCTTTGATGTATTACATTATCAGTCTAGGTTTTATGTACTATGCTTTATTTGTTCATATGGCTATATATGCTCAATGTCAGACTAGATCCTTTTTATAAGATATTCATGGCTTATATTCTGACAAGTATTGTAAATCATTGCTAGCAATAATTTTTTTTTCTAAACCAATAAGAGTTTTTTGTATATCACTGGAAATAGTTACTGACTGTCATCATAAATTATCAATGGACATCTACCTACAATTGTCTTTTCCAAGAGTTTGTAGAAACTTTAAAAATCATGATAGTTATAGTTAGAAATTCTACAAGATGGGCTTGATCATATTTCATCACTATGGTTGTTCATGGAATCAACAACATTTTGATAGATGTCTAAATTCGTTTAACAACATTTAATTTAATCCATGGAAACAACAACATTTTGATAGATGTCTAAATTCATTTATGTTTTAATTATATACTAGATTTTAACCCCGTGCGTCCGCACGAGAATGTTTTATTTTTTATTTCTAATATAAATTGCATTTATCTTTTTTTGTTTAGATATAATTTGTTTTTGTTATTTATTTTTTTAAATCAAATAATTGTTATCATAATTTAATTTAAAACAGTAAAATTTGTATATTAGTAGAATAAGAGTAGCGTTAATTAAGTATACATTGATCTAATGTTAATTATAAACTTTGTTACTATGTGAATTTAGATTTACACATAAAAAATCTATATATCTATGAATTTGCTAATCCATCCATTTAGTTGTCTTAAATCATTTTTAATATCTTACATGTTTTGACAAACTAACCCGTATAAGACTATAATTATAATTGTATAACCCTATAAATATTTACTAATATAGAATATTTGGACCAATTGATTATGAAAAAATATAATAAGATATTTATTTATTATTTGTGCTATTAAAAAAATGTATATATATATATATATAAACTGGCTAACCTGTTAGTTTAATTGTCTCAAATCATCTTAATATCTTACATGTTTTAATAAATTAACTCATGGACCTTAAATATATATATATATAACTCTAATCAGGTCGATCGTATTATTGTATAATATAAATATTTATTAATCTTAAATATTTGATATTTTAGACCAATTGATTATGATAAAATACGATAAATATTTATTTACTATGTATTTTTATAAAAATATTATTTAAATTTAAAATTTTAAATTAAATCTTTCCTGTATGTAAAAAATTTTAAAGTATTAAAATTATTATCTAAATTTTTGTAATAAAATTTAATTATAATTTTTTTTTTGAATTTTTTGAATTTAAATTAAATTGAATGCAAATTTGTAACTAAATTTAATTAAATTTCTAATAATTTGAAATTTAAATTAAAGATAACCTAGATTTTAGGAAATCTAAAAATATCTAAATTAATAACTAATTTTTCGAAAATTAAATATAAAAATAAAATAAAATATTATAAAAAAAATTTTAAGAGTGTTTGGATGCAAGCACTAAATGTACTTCTATTTTAATAGAATAGATATTTGCATAAGAGATCCAGTATTGCTAAATTTATGTTTGCGTAAAAGGTCCAGTATAGTTAAATTTATGTTTTTGTATTACCTTATTAATCAACCTCTAGAATAAATCATATATTGAGTTACTAGAATCAATAACAATAAAATTAATATAATCATGAATTTTTTTTTAAGAATTATTTCTCGATATGAAAACATATATATAATATATGCATATATCTTTATTTGAAAAGATAATATGCTTGAAGAATATATCTATAATAGAGTGTTAAGCAAAAAAAATATGCTTCTTTTCAAAAGAGTCCATAATTATGACTATTTAATTTCAAAACATCTGTATTTACTACCTGCATGTGGTTGAGATTTGATGTAAAACAACTTGGTATTCCCCCAAGTTTTTATTTAGATAAACAAAAGTATTTGGGTGATGTCATCTTTATTGGAACATGCGGTAGCTTAAGATTTTAAATAACTTAAAAGTAATGATTGTGCACTATATAGATTATACTATTTGTTTTTTTTTGGTCTCGATATGTTCGCGTCGTAGATCACTTGCGTGTATTTTTAGTAAACTAGAATCATAAATATTTTATTCTCTTATATTATTTGGTGCTAATCAATCGGAAAAAATATATATTGAGTTATTTGGGAAGTTGCTATTGTCAGACAACTTGTGCCGCTTTAATGAACATTTTCCATATATTTAGGCTGAAAAAAAGTAAACTACCGAAAACCTAATGTGTATAATAATATTCTCTCTATCTTCTTATTTTGGTTTTTCTTTTTGTGATCTTCAGACCAACAGAAAAAAAAAACATCATGTCGGATGTGGCCGATATTTCTAGATGGGAAACTCACACTCACTGTTCCGAGATCTATGTTCAAGTGCTTCGACTCTGGAAACATGTCAACTTCTTTGGTGATACATCCTCTCGGACGAAAGGTATTTTTAAGGTTGTTACTTCTTTATATATTTTTCGGGATTATTTAAAAAGTAGAATGTCGTTTTGCTTTTTATTTTGGATCTGATACCAAATCATTCTTAGGGTGATCGCATTGCTGCAACTGTTATGATCGATGAAGTTCCTCTGCATGGTGTCGTATTGAAACAGGATTCTTGGTTTAAGGTTCGTCATTTTATTCACTTGCCCTACGCTCTCATCATCCATGCTCTGACTTTTTGTGCAATCCGGTTGATGACGAAATTGACAAGTTCAGGGTAAAGTAAGTATAAGATTTGTAAATTCCTTTTTTACAATATTTTGTTATTTGTGTTTAGATATACTGATCTAATCTATCGAATCTATTTCTTCGTAGACGATACCGTCTTCGTGATTAAAGCATCACCACCGGCGTGCACTTATTGCTTACTTCTATTTTCTTTATCTATATAACTAATGCTATTAAGACACTTACCTTATAACGACTGTTGCTTAATCTCCTATTTTGGTTAGAATATATACATCATGCTTTATTTATATTAATGAAATGACTTTTTTTTTTTAACACTGATCTATTATTCTATTACAAATTATGAGAACTATTACATCGACAATTTAACAACGGACAAGTCTCCCACCTGCAAATACGCCAAACGAAACTCCATGCATCACGTTAAAAACCTCCTGTAAGCTTGTCTCCATTAATCTGCAAATTAATAATAAATCGCACCTTCCGGGACTCGAAACCCAGATCTCTTGGTGTAAAAGCATTAAAGAACCCATTAACCACTAGGCTAAGGAAGCTTCCACTAATGACGCTAGAACCTTTTAAATGACTTAGTTCTATGATTTTTGCACTAAACCTTTTAAAGTGAGATTTAAAATGTTATCATGTTTTTGATAATGTCTGGTAATTGGTTAGGTTATAAGTTATTTTTTATTTTGATTATGCTACTTTTTTGTTATACGCACGATTTTTAATTTTATTTGGTTTGTAATATGAATTTAGTTACTTTTGAAATTATATATTCCAAATTATTTAACTATTGAGTAAAAACATGTATTATGTGATATACTAATTGTTCGCTAAATAAAAATCATTATAGTGGTATTTTCTACAAGATCGGTTCAATTAACTTTCAAAACTATGATTGTTTATGGGTTCAATATCAATTCGGTATAGAGTATACTTACATTAACTTTTTATTATACCCAAATGTTATATTATTTATTCAAAGATTCCCAATTATTTATTCAAAAATGTCCAATATAGTTAAAATTTATATTTCCATCGTACCTTAGTCAATACTCAGAATAAATATATATAATAGATGTTCAATAATATGATGCAATGTTCATATATTTGGTTAGTAAAATAAAATAAATACATTAGAAGTAAATATGAGTTTTTTTCTTTTTATTTATAGATAAATTTCAATATTAAAACAGATACTGTATATGTGTTTTTATAAGAGACGAAGATATACATGATTGTGATTATCTGGAAAGAAAACATATTTAGTTATTATTTTATGAAATTAACAAACTTAGTTGTTACCGATAATTTATAGTAAAAGCTTACGATTATATCATATTGGCATCCAACTTATAAAACCGACAATGTAAACACTTTCTAATGAATCGTCACCATTAAGCGTCCCAAAAAAAAAAAATGTTACTTATATATTCTATTTACATCGGCTTCAGAGAAAAAAAAACATAACTATTTTATGACAGTTATCTCTCTATAATATTTTGGAGAAAAATGGCAACTTATGATTTGGTTCATGAGATGTATGGATGAAGAGATGACTGAAATATTATGGTTAAAGTTTTGAAAAGGTGGAACATGAATGATCCACAAGAATTACCAGGACTTGGCTTCATTCGGACCGATGAGAATGTAAGTTTTGTTATCAACTAATCTTTATAGTAATAAGTCTTTGTTACGATTTATTTATTGCTTCTTATAATTTTTATATTTGCTTTTCTTATAATGTACGAATGCAGAATTCATACCAAAATTCACAATCAGATGTTGAAGTATTTCGAACGAGTTTGTCCGGAAGATCATTGGGTTATGTTATATGGGTTTAATCTCAATCGATTACTCACTAGACACGATTACATGATTAATCTGACCGACGACACAAGGGTTTCACGTGTAATACCATTATCTAATAGGGCATTTGTCAATTTCGTACAATTTTCTCTGATTACCAGTAATCCTTACGCTCATGAATATCCAATCGGTGAGTATAATTATATATTTTTTATTGGTCTTATTTCTTAAAAAAACAATAGTATTTTTGATGTGTATATTTATTCAGATTTGATTGGTTTACTTGACGTTGTAAGGGATCTCATACCAGTTGTGCAGACAGATGGAAAAACTGTCTTGACACTCCGTTATCATCTTAAAGACAATGAGTAAGCCCATTAGTTTTTTTGGTTGTCGATGGTTATAATAGTTTAGTGTTATAATAATTGTATTGTGTAATTTGAAGGGCCAATACATTGGAGTGTATCGCACATAGCTCATTAGAAACTGAGATAAAAGAAAAATGCATAGGATTCGATGGTCCATTTGACCTGTGCGTCTTAACTGATTTACGAAAACTGGGGGTATATACTAAAATTTGACACGATTATGAAATAATTTGAATTTATATGTGCCACTATGCGAACTGACGATTTTTTTTAGAAGAACTAACTATCCAAGATCACGGAGCAGAAGGTCTTTCGCGTTTCATGACTGCTCCTGCAATGGATGAAGTTTCTGAATTTCGGGCAAAGTGAGTTAATTACTAAGACATGGATCTTACTCCCTTGATACGGATTTTTAATAGTACTACATTGTTTACATACTATTCTTAAATGTTAATTTCATGACTTGGGTGAATATAGGGAACAAAGTCCATGGAAACAATATTTTGTTTAGATATGTATTAGCTATAACTTATATTTTCGTTATTATCTTTATTATTTTTTTTATTTTTTGGTTGTTAGTTTTCCTATGTTCTGTTAGACGATAACAATAAATATTCGGAAGTTATTTAAAATCTATGATTATTCATTGTTTGGTTATTTAAATTTTAAGATTATGTTTCGGAAATAATTGATTTTATAATAACTATGAAATATAAATTAACCTTGAAATTTTTTTGCTTAGTTGAACTTTCACTTTTCTGTAAAATGAAACTCACGACAATAAGTCAACATCCTTAGAATACAATATATTATAAATGTTGACTATGTAAGGTAATTTTTCTTTTAAGGTAAATTAGTCATTCAAAATATATAGACGGTGTTCAAATAAACAAATTTTAGTAGTATTTTAAGAATCTGTAACAATGAAGTTTTGGAATACTAACATTATTTTAAATAGGATATTCTCTATTTGTATTTAATCAAAGATAATATTATTTGTTTATTCCATTGAATCTAAAATGTTAATATTCTTAAATATTGGTTATAGATTAATATAAAATCATATATTTTTTCTTATAAATATACTCTAACAATCTCTTTCGAAAACGATGATCACGCAATGACGAATTATAATTTTGTTCGTGAACGTGACTCACAAAGATCCGATTGGAGAATTGTAGTGAAAATTCTGAAAAAATGGGTGGTGGATTACCCGGATGGTAATCGAAGCTTAAATTTCATCATGGTCGATGAAAGAGTAAATGTCAATTACGTATTATTATCTTTATGATGTTTACTGTTGGTTATGTATCATTGCTTGAGCATAACTACTTTGTTTTTGATGTTTTGTTGTTATTGCATAAACTTCTAGGGTTGTAGAGTACAAGCTGGGGTAAACAATCAGATGATGGATCATTTCAATCAGAGTTGCGAAGAAGAGCAATGGGTTATGTTGTCTGGTTTCCTTTTGAATCCTTACAACTGAACTAATATCCAAAGTATTATGAAACATGATTATGTTATTACTCTAACGAAAGGAACAACGCTTTCACCAGCTCTACCATTAACAAATAATTCATTCTATAATTTCGTTTCTTTCCTCTCGATTTATGAATTCCCAAGTGCTCATTATTAGCTAATTGGTAAAAATTATTTTGGTATCTTCGCATAACGCAAATTTTATAGTCTGAACTCATGTCTTTATTTTTATTAATTACAATCGCAGATTTGATTGGAGTGGTATCTTCGCATAACGCAAATTTTATAGTCTGAACTCATGTCTTTATTTTTATTAATTACAATCGCAGATTTGATTGGAGTAGTCAAAGATGCTAGATACTTTACTATTACATACCCGGATGGAATGAATTCAGCATCAATTTGATTTCAAATTATAGACGACGAGTAAGTAGATCTCAAACTATATATTTGAAGTCTAATTAACTATTTCTTAACGAGGTTGTTTGTCAAACGTAGGGAATTTATGCTTGAGTGTGTTGCACATGGTGAATTGGCAACTGAAATAAGAGATAAATGTAGAGAGTACGAGGGTCCCTTTGCTATATGTGTTTTAACCGATTGGTGTGTAGTAATTAACGATCGTATGTGTTCTAATGATACAATATTATGGTATTTATACAATCGTATTATATAATGTTACAAAAATCTAATATATATATTTTTAGAGGATGTGTCTATCAAAGATCATGATGATGATGGTGTGTCCTGTTTCATCATTGATTCACCAATTGCTGAAGTTTTAAGCTTACGAAATAAGTAAGTATGTTTTTCAATACTGTTTAAATTGACTTAAAAATTATATATTTAAATTTCAGGATTTGGAAGAGGTTAAATGGGTTGGATATAGATGATGTCCAATGGATTGGGCCGAGTATACCGATTCAAATTTCAGAATCCAAATGCATTATTTTATGTTAGAAATACTGTTTGGAGTTTTTTCCTTATTTACAAATCTGTTTTGCAATTATTAACAAACAATAATTTACTCAAAATTGGTTTTAAATTACTGCCTATAAATATAATATATATTAATCTGGATACTAAATAAGTCTAAACAACCCAATCGAATTGTATACGAAACATACCAATCCTAGAGCGTGTAGATGGAATATTGATTATTTCAGTAAACGATATGAATGAATATAGATGATCTTTGAGAACTGATGATGTTTCTTGGATGTGAGTATGTTCATTGAAACACAAGTGATATTTGTTGAAGACCGCAGCTGATGATCGTAGATCATGTTTGACGCCAAAATTACGAATGAAATACAAATTTCATTCGGAAATTCGGTCACTTTACTGATCCACTAAATTACTGGGGATTGTTGCTACCATTCTATCACCCTTTGACCAAAATATATAAACTTAGATAACCATTTCGTAAAAATATATGCTGTTGGATTTATATACTTACATGTTCATCCGCCAAGAGAAGCATTTTTTTATGCACTGGAACCGATGTCTTCGATGATAGTTTTGAGTTTAAAAATTATTTTCTCTGTTTAATGAAAATTTGTATCGTTATTTAATAGATGATAACGAACAAGTGTATCATTAAGGCATCAGTTAATT